TGCAGCCCGAGTGCCCCACTTCCTTGCCTTCACCCCTCTCTTCTCCTCAGACTCTTAGAACCCAGCTTTAATGATGAGCTATGTCTATTTTGAAGGGTCTCCCTGTTCTGTGAAGTTTGCTGGGGGTCTGTCTGTCTTCAGATTGCTGAGTGCCTGGCAAGCCCTGTCCCTGTCACCTGTCCGTATCTGGAGATCCTGACCCCACATATCTATCTGCTCAGGAGGCTTTCCTGTGGTGGTGAAGGCATTTACCTTTGTTGCCTGAGTGTCCTGAGACCTTTCCTGTGCTGAGGTCCTGACTGTCCCTGTGGAGGTGGAATGTCCCAGGACCCAGGGCCCACCTCTGCTCTGATGTCCACCCTTCTTCCTTGACCCCTTGTCCCACTTCCTCCTTCATGCCTCCAAGTTCCCAGACCAAGGCTCTCCTCACTGTGCTTCAGGCAGTCCTCTGCCTGGGATGCCCTGAGGAGGAACCCGGTGCCTGAGCCATCCCCAGAATCCTTCCCACACCCCACGTTCCCTCTGGCAGCATGAACCCCCAGTCACTTGCCCTTCACCCTCAATTCTCATCAGACTGTTGGAGCCCAGAGACCCTGAGTGGAGAGCTGACCATCCTGAGTCCAGAGGATTAGGTTCCCATAGGGAGAGAGCTGGAGCCATGGTGAGGTCTGAGTTCAGGTCTCCTGAGATCAGGAAGGGTTCATGGGAATGGTCCCCTGTAGCCCTGACCACCATCTGACAAGATGGGACCGGTTAGAGGTGATGAGGAGCAGACAAAAGAGGCAAAACTTACAGACGCCACGGACCGTTGGCCTGATCCCAGGTCACAAAAGAAAGCAGAGAAAAATAGCCCCAAATTGCATACTGGATCCGAAAGAGGATGGAAAGTGGGAGACTTACCGAGGACGGTCAGATGGGTCCCTCCGCCGAACACAATACACTGTGACACAGCCTGGAACACAAACCCTCTGTCAGCCCCTCCACCCCTGACCCAGGCCCACCTGCAGCTGTACGGGAGGCCCAAAGCCCAGCCTCCTTGTCACGGGTGCTGGCTGGGCAGATGGGTGGGTGACAGGGGTGACCCCTGGGGACCTGGAATTTCAGTTCCATGGAGGGTTCAGATTCCATCCATCCTCAGTCATGGGGAGGGGTTGAGACACCTCCTCTAGATATTGCATCAGAATTCCCAAGTAACGCCATCCTTAGGAAGGGGCTGTGTTCTCTCCTCAGCCTGTATCAGGATGTCATTGTGAAAGGGGTGAGCAGGGCTGTTTTAGCACAGAGGTGATGGAACTGTGAGCCCTTTGCAGACTTGGGACTCATGCGGAGGGTCCTAGATATGCCATCACATCCTCAGCACAGGAAACCGTGGAGGATTGGGGTCAGGATAGGGAAGTGTTGAGAGGAGAATCATGTTTCCCCAGCACTTAGATCCCTCTCTAGGGTTCTGATCTCCTGAATTGCTGCCTTTGTCTGGTTCTTCTAGTGTCATCACTGTTTACTCCCTGTCCTGAGCCCCATGAGGGCAGCTATCATGGTGTAGGGGTGTGTGGGCTGAATATAAGCTGGTTAGACCTGGTGGGCACCTGGTGGTTTGGGAGGCTGTCACTACGTCCTACAATTTTGCCCTCAGCCGGAGTGTTGGAATCTGTGCCTGACCCTTGAAGTGAGTGAGAATCACACATCGTCCATGTACAGGAGCATCACTGGCACAGGGTCACCTCACCAAGCAGGACACACATACCATACCTCTGCACTGGACCTTCACATTGTGAGGAGGGTCCCTGACACCCAGGGCCTTCACCTGCATCCTGGCCTAGGGACGTCACCTGCAGAGCTCACACTGGGGACACACAGGCCTGGCATCCTTCTTTCTATGAAACATTGGCATATTGGCATGCTGAGCCAGAACTATGACTGTCTTCCTTGACTTTTGATTAGTGTGTAAACACCCTCCCAGCAGCTTATGAAGTTGCTTGTCTCTCTCCAGCCTTGAGTAGAATCCCTGGGACCTTCTATTGCTACTGGCTGGCTCTGGTAGGGATGACAGAGATGAAGTTGTCTTTGTTCATGTCATATCCTGGCTCCCTGTGCAACAACTTTTGCCTCAGCTCCTCCTGATCTTTCCATAGACATGCCCACCATGGCAGTGTTATAAATGGACCAATGGCTCTGTGATCATCATGTGTGTGCATGTATGTTTCTGTTCATTGATACCTGTGTGTATACTTGTGTGTGTTATGATCAGATCCCACACTGAGCTCCTAAGTAGATAGATGAGTCAGTTGAGAAACCTGTCAGCAGCCTATTTCCAGAATCTGATCCTTGATTTATAACAGAGGCCCCAGGTGGGTTATTGAAACACAAGTGGTGGGCTCTTGGCTTGGCTTGGACTTGGAGGGGTCCCAGAGAGTATAGCTGGAGTCTGTGTCCCAGAGACCTTGGATGCAAGTATGAACTAAGAGACACTGGGAGGGGGAGGTGCCAGCAATGGGAGTGTGGGTGTGAGTGACCTGCATCCAGGCAGATAGTCCTGTAGTAAGTGTGACAGGGAGTCAGTCGAGGGGGAACATGTGATTGTCCCTGGGGAGGTAGGAACAGGGGTTCTCATAAGGAAGGGAGGTGGCTCTAGGCTGGTATGATAGGGAATGTCCACATGGGGTAGGAAACGAAGGAAAATGTGGCACTGAGTGGGGGCCTATAGGAAGAGGAGAGTGGGAATGTTCAGAGGAGGGCTTCTTGTAGACTGTGAGGTGCCAGGTCCAGGGAGAAATTCAGGAATTATCTAAGAAATCGTGGGGACCTGATATCGGGCAGGGCAGCTAAGACTGGAAGTAGACATGGTTCACACAAGAATGAAAGCTAGAGACATTGTGGAGGATGGTCTCTTTAATTTCTGCTGTTTTGACGTGCTGTTCAGGAGAATTCTCTGGCAATTCTGGCTGAGAGCAAAACAACGCCTCATGAAACATGAGGACGCCTTCTGCGGGCTTCTTTCCCAAGGCCAAAAGAATCATGTCCCCCCCCTCCCCCACCTTAAGATGGTTGAATTCTGGACCAAAATGTTAAACCCTAATTACCAGACAGTCTGAATTCTGATTGAATAAAAGACATTTTATTGAGCATTGACTGGGTGCTGGGAGAAGGGCTGGGATGATTCTGGTGCAAGGGGAATCCTTCCTGGAGGTCCTGTGGCTCTAAGCCCTTTGAGTGGGTAGGGGGTACCATGACCTAAGAGAACTCTGTGGGGACCACTGTTTTCTCCACGTTGCTCCCCTCATGTGTGACCTGGCAGGTGTAGCTGCTACGAGATTTCCACTGGTCTGGTGACAGGTTCAGGTAGCTGCTGGCCGCGTACTTGTTGTTGCTCTGTTTGGAGGGCTTGGTGGTCTCCACGCCCTGGGTGATGGGGGTGCTTTCTGCCTTCCAGGCACCATCAAGCCGCTGGGGTAGAAGTCACTGGTGAGGCATACCAGGGTGGCCTTGTTGGTGCTGCGCTCCTCAGAGGAGGGTGGGAAGAGGGTAACTGAGGGCTAGGACTTGGGCTGACCTGTGGGGTGGGTGAGGGGCAGGAGTTCAGAGGTTAAGCATCAACTGTGGGCTCTCTTACCCTCGGTCTTCTTTGTGGTACAAGTTCCTGAGCATCCATTCAGGTCCCCAGTTCCCACTGTGTATCTGCATATCCATGTTGAGGCAGTTGGGGGGGTGGGTAGGTTAAGGTGTTTCTCAATCATCTCCCCATCTGTGCTGGGAACTTTTGAGGGGCATTCCTGTCACCACCCCTCCCGACATTCTCCTGGAACCTTTCCTTCCACACAGACAATGAACTCTCACTGTCCTGCTCCTGCCTCCTGTGACATTTTGACAGTGTCTGTCTCGGCTCTACATTTGTCTGTCTGTGGCCAGGGTTATGATGTGAGCTCTCTCACCTCCCATTGACTCGTCCTGTGGACCATTCTATCCTGACACTGTTGTGCTGGGAATGTCAGGGTCTTGGGCTAAAGGGTCTGTTTTTACCCAGATGTGTCTCTCCTGGGCCGTCCCTGATGGGGTAGGATCCTTGCTGATCGTACAGATTCTGTCTGACTGGCCTTGTGTCTCTCTCATTCCATTGTCTTTCTGCAGCCTCGTCCCCCATGTCCTGCAAATTTGTTTAGCATTAAAACCTTCAATCCAAAGATTCTGCCTCTCTTTGGGGCAGGAAGTATGTCCTACAGACACTTCAGTGTCCACCTTGTTCTCACATCCGGTCATTCTGTGACCCTTTCTTTGGCACCTTCTCTTTCTTCCATCGTCCTCCTCCTTGCTGGTTTCCCTGAGTCCCCTGGCCAGCTCAGGGCTCTGAGCTTCCCCAAGAGGCCTGGGGGAACAGCTCCATCCCTGCACCATTGCTGGCCCTGGATCCTGAATGCCAGAGCTCTGGGCCCTGCCCTGAACCTCTGACCTGTGTGTCCTCAGACATGGCCCTGAGGGTGCTGTGTCCCTGTAAATTCTCCACATGGTTACCCCCACAATGTTCCCTGTTCTCTCTTCCCTTTTAGATGGGGACCTTAGTGACTCCCAGAGACAAAGGTGGACTGACATGAGGCCAGACAGGAGAGGAAGGAACAGAGCACATTTAGGACCCAGTATGACCCTGGCAGACAGAGAGTGGAGTCTGTAGGTCATCCCACTTATACTCCTGCCTCTGGGGATAGAGGTAAAGTTCTGATGGTACATGGGAGGAAGAGGAAGGCCCCAGGCTCTGGGGTCCTGGGTGAAAGCATGACAATAGGCTTAGGGAAGACACAGAAATGAACAGAAAAAGGAGAAACTTGTTCAAACCTCTGGGAGAGCAGGGAAGGAAGGAGAAGATGAGACTCACCTAGTACAGTCAGCTGGGTTCCATCGCCAAACACCCAACACTGTGATATAGTCTCATACAAAATCCCTGGCACAGGTCAGCCCTGCCCCACCCCTTACCCCCCCCACCTGCAGCTGTGTTGGAGGAAGTGAGGGCACTGCTCCAGGCTGGTGGTGTCTGCTCAGCTGGGGGGGGGGGCACACATCCCCCATTCCTAGCAGATAACAAGACCAATGTCCCCACATGAAAGGCAACAGGATCCTTGCAAGCAGTTCTTCCAAAGGAAGTTGGTAACTGATCTGCTGTTTCTACTTACTATCTCCTATGGATTGAGGTGAGTTTGTGGAGGTCTTTTGTGTCATTGTGAGTCAGGTTCCATGGAAATAAACCGGACATCCCTTCTCTGTAAGTTCAAACAATCCTAATTCCTTGGTGAGACCATGAGTTGAAGGCAGTACATGTCCCCTCACTCACAAACCTCCCTTTCCAGGGAGAAGCAGGTTGGCCTATGGTATAGGCCATTGGAAACTTCCTGTATCCCCTACTGTCACATATAGGGGCTCAGCCTTATCTTCCCAGGAATGTCCTAGTTTGGGACAGTCCTATGTGAAGTCTGTCCTGGTCCTGTGGGACATGCCAGCCTGTGTCAATGTGACCTTTGGAGTACCCCAGAGATACCCCAATCTGGTCTCATGTTGGGGAGGGTCTGGTGTATGACTGCTGCTTTCCTTCTTTCAAAGGTCTTAAATGCCACCTGACACTAAATGGAACTGGCATCAGTGACTGATTTCAGGCCTGGGGTGGGTAGGCACAGAAGAGATGAGAAAAGATGGTATGTGGTCCATCAGAAAGCAGGAGCTGTAGAGCTCACCTGGGGTCATGTGAGTGTACCAGAAGCTACCTGAAGAGATCCCACTGGACCAATGTCCATATGTGTAGCCACATTGCCATCATGCCTAGGGGCCTACCCTGGTGCCACCCCCTAAGCCCGTCAGGTCAAGCCCAGAGTGCACCAGGTCAGCAGACAATAAAGCTTCAGCAGGGGAAAATGGAGGGAGAAGGTCATCATTCTGTAAAGTGGGGAACAGGAGGGGAAAGTTTATATTTCTTTGTCATAATATATGAAGGTCGCTGTGGGGAGAATAAAGAGCAGATGAAGGCACTCTCCTCATGGGCACATTGTAGCCTTCACGGGAGAAGGAAGACAGAAATGAAATATTCCCATGATGCATCCTTCCCATTTGATTGATGGTGTCATTGAACATCAAGGCAGCTAATGCTACCTAAAAAGATCCACTTGACTGAGGTCCTTTGATGCAAAGTGACCAACAGTCTTGGGAGGTGATTTTGCCAAGTCCAAGCTGGACCTCCTGAAGCTTCTGAGCCAGATGCCCTTTGCAGGAAGAGGAGGCGGAGAGAATGGTTCGGGTACAGCTATGGGAGGCTGTGGCTGCATCCCCGCCGTGGGAGAGTCCCAGGACCAACAGCCCTTCCTAGAAGGAAGGACGCAAGCCATTGCCAGGATCCAAGCCACTTCCTTGGAAGGAAAAGTAGAGGGGTTGGATAGATTCTTACACACCCAACAGACCTGAAGACACATCCACCAATCACAGTGTCAAATGTTACTCAATACTCATAAAAATAAGGAAGTAAGAACACCACCAGCAGCATCAAAAATAAAACTTCATGAATTCACTTATGACACCTATGAGGCTTTTTGATGAGAAATGGACTATTGTCTTGCTATTAAGAAGTTCCGATGGTTTCTGCTTAGATTTGATGATGATGTTGTAGTTGTAGCTCAGGTCCTGTCTTTCCAGTTCACAAATGAATTGTATACAGAACAAATGGTACGATCTTGAATTTGCTTCAAAATGCTGCATAAGGGAAGACCTCAGGCTAGGTCATCTGGGACTCTGGCACCTGGTTGATAGGAACATGGGGTTTCTCCCTTGCCTTCTGTCTCTTCAGTTTGTGGAGTTCATAATGAACACTTAAAACAATGAATAGAGGAGTTTGTCTAGGGGTGGCAGTGGCTATGGATGGGGGGGAGGTGGGTATTATGTCATTCTCCCCAGCAGGACCATTGGAATGAGGGAGGCCTGAGTGGTCCCTTGTTCCTTTGGGGTCTTAGTTTTCCCATCTATGGAATGGGTTCATGCAGATGCTGATCCCAAAGTTTCTATTATCTCCTAGGTAGATTTGGGGACTGTTGGCTGCTAAAAAGCTCCTTGGGGGCCCCTGTCTCTGACCCATTGTTGCCCTGGAGCATGCTATCCTTGGAGGATCTGTCCCTGGGCATTCCTGCCCACAAGCAAGTCTGGTGAAGGCAGCTCCCAGACCCTGATGAGCTGAAGGCTCAGGGTATCTGTCCAACCTAGG